AGTGGGCAGGAACCCTCACAACAGCCTACCTTCAGAAACAAGGCCTAAATATATCAACTGTGAAGTGCGCGTTGATGGCGTTTACACGCAAACCAATGACGCCATACCCTGTTTACATCAATGGGCAGAGTGCCAAATATGCACGGACGCATCGTTTCCTGGGCATAATAATCGACACAAGTCTTTCGGGGAGCCCACATTGTGCGTACTTGAAGAAGAGACTACTATCTATTGTACATATCATGAAATGCTTGTGCGGTAAAGCATGGGGAACTTCTGTGGCCTCCATGCTACAGCTGTACAGGGCCCTATTTCTGGGTCTATTGCGCTACAGCTTGCCAGAACTGACTAACACTTGCAAATCGAATACTCATTCATTGGAGAGTTTGCAGGGTCAGGCACTGCGTATCTGCCTAGGACTGCCCCGATGCGCTTCTACTTATGCCACAATCATGCTTGCCAAAGACCATCCGGTCAGGACATATATAGTTGTCGATTGCTTCAGAGCGCACATTCGACATGCTAGCCGTGTCCCCGACCACCACTTGGCCCTTTTACCTTCCGGAAGACCACGTGCTACGTTTTCAGACGTCATAGCTAAGCACCTAAACAGCATTCCATCAGGATATACGCCAGCTGCGAGAACGGCATGTCCTTTGTGGTGCCTCGACCAGCCGCAGGTACGTCTAGAAATTCCGGGAATCAAAAAGAAAAGCAGTCACTCCAGAGTTGCATTGAAGCAAGCAACACTGCTATTATTACATGAGTTGTACTTAGACCGAACGCAGATATACACTGATGGGTCCGTCTGGTCCAGCAGCTCATCAGGTGCCGCTGTAATTCCGGCTGCAGAAATGACAATTAAGTTTAAGTTGTCGCATATGGCTACATCTACGGCATCAGAGCTTGCTGCTATAAGGGCTGCTTTACAATATCTCGTTCAAGAACGTCCAGGAAAATGGGTCATATTCTGTGATTCAAAGGCAGCGCTTCAGAGTTTGCAGTCTGCCATGCGTAGGAGGAGTCAAGACCAACTGGTACAAGAAATAAGACATTGCCATCATGAAGCTCTAGCACGAGGGCATGATATTATATATCAATGGCAGCCTGGACATATCGGTATTACCGGAAATCAATTAGCCGATGATGCAGCCCGCTCAGCCCATGAAGAAACCCGTGTAGTCCCGATTCCTCTATCAAGGAATGATGCAGCAAGACAACTTTACCTGCTGGCTCGAGATCTCACACGCACGTTCTGGTCGTCTACCAGCTTCCAAAGGTATCAATTTTATGAACTGGATCCTTCGCTCAAGCTAAAGCTACCATCACAACTTTCCCGCTCCGATGCGACACTGTTATGCCGCCTTTGGTTGGGTGTTGCATTTACAAAGGTGTACTCCTTTCGCATTGGTATGGGAGACACTCCTACATGCGACTACTGTGGAGCTGAAGAGACCATCGAACACGTCCTGTGCAGCTGCGCTTGCTACGACACACAGCGATGCCAGTTCCGGATGGTTTTGAATCGACTTGACCCTGGACCATTTTGTGTGCAGAAGATACTAGGACCTTGGGCATCTGCCTCAGTTGCGCAGAAAGCAACTAAAGCACTGCTACTTTACCTAAAGTCAAGAAACCTGAGTGACCGCCTGTAGACTGTGTGTGCTCCCCGAGTGTGCTCGTGATTGTGTGTACCTTCTCATCTTTCTGCAACCTCTTTTCTCCCCTTTATCCGTTCGCCAGTGCAGGGTAGCAAACCGGATGTGCGTCTGGTTAACCTCCCTGCCTTTCCTTGCATCTTTATCTCTCTCTTGAAGTGTGCCTCTTCTGCACGACAACGCCCGTTTTGAAACCGCTAGCGAGATCGGAGATCGTGAGCAGCGATGCAAGGTCATTTCGCAGGTAAACACAGCTACCGGCGTCTCTGCGCTGGCTCGCCTCACTTCCACCTTTGCTCTTCACATCGATGGCATCGATAAAATAATAATGTGTACTAACGCATTACATACGAGCGCGATGCTTGATAATGTTGTCAAAAACAAGCGCTAGATGACGAGCTCGCATGTGAACGGCGTAGGCGACGGCCGGCGCCCGCGATGCTAGGCCTACCTGTCGGAGTCGTAAATAATCAGCTGTTGCCGTGGTTACAACGGGCTTGTCGTTCCCGAACGTGATTTATTAATTATTTTTATAGAACGAAGAGTAGCTGTGCAATGTTGTTTGTTTTGAGCCCCATTACGAGGATACCAAAGTCGTTCAACACTGCATGCCGAGGCGCTTCATGGGGGTGGAGCCTGCCGCTGATAGCTCCTTTGCCCTCGTGTGTCCCGAAACGTCGCATGCGGCACGCCGCACCATGCGACGCCGCACGCCGCATCGCACGGAAAATCGCACGTCTGTCTCGCGCTTAAGGCGCACAGACGGCTCCCGTCGAAGAGCGCACGTTTGTATTGCATTGAAAGAAATAAAGGAGGCGTTGGACAGACAGACAGACAGACAGACAGACAGACAGACAGACAGACAGACAGACAGACAGACAGACAGACAGACAGACAGACAGACAGATAGGTGGATAAACGCACGCACGGACGGATGGACAGGGCAGATGAACGCAAAGACGAGTGGTCAGACAGGCAAACGGACGGATGAATGGACGGACGCTTCGACCTACTCATCATCATTCACTTCGTGGATATGCTGTGACTTTTTTATATATCCCCGCACTTCAAGGTGCACAGCTGGTGTTTGTAGGCGCCACTCCTGGCATAGCGGTATGGCTGCGGGTAAGGAAATCCAGGAGATGGAATGCTGGTTAGCCGCAACAACTCTGGAGAATTCTGCCTTCGCGATTTTTCTTGTGGCAGATCTCATTTGACGTTTTGCATATATCGTATGCAAACCGAACTCATATTTTATGGACGGAAAGTTCGATAGGCACCATTGTAATTCCATCTCGATGAATCACCATAAAGTTCGAGACTTCACACGTCACGGCATCTACGGGCTCTGAACTTCAAGCTTCAATGAAACTTGTTGCGCCAGAATCCCCTGGTAAGTGGGCTGTATTCAGGGACTCCAAGGCAGCCCTTCAATGTTCGCGAAGTCTACGACGCGAGAACTAGCATCAGTTGGTGTCCTAAATCAACAAAAACAGTCCTCCCGTCACTAACCAAGGCCACGACATGTTCTTTCAATGCCTGCCGGGTCACTGTGGGATCAGTGGTTATCACCTCACCGACAACGCGGCCCAATGTCCCACCACGGAGTGCTCACACTGCTGAGACTTCTGTCAATGGTCGACGCTGCAGGAGAACTTTTCCCCATCGCTCATAATGCCACACCTCTGCAGTGAAATCTCCCACTGAGCTTCACTCGACGCCCACAGAACTTCGGTTCATTACTTCAATTACAGCTGCCATCAAAGACATCGCAGCGTGACGCTACAATGCGGTGTCGGTTGTAGGTTGGCGTTGTTTTTACCAATTCATTCAGTTATCGCATTGTATGGCTGACTCCTCCAACTTTGATAACTGCGATTGTGTAGAAACTCTTGAACATGTCCTGTGCCGTTGTCCCGACCTTGAAGAAGATCACCGGCCTCTCCAGTATGCCTTGAGGAGACTTGATGATTGACCCTTTACTTTGGAGAAAATCTCGGGTGCATGCCCTTCAAGTACATTAGCCGGAAATCTACATGAGGCCTGGTAGAATGAATACTCGAGGGCAACATCACTGAGTGACCATGCAATGTGTGTGTGGTATGTGTGTGGTGTGAAATATCCATCTCTTGCTCTCTCTCTTTTACTCTATTTTACTCCCTTATTCCTCTCTCCGCATGTGTAGGGTAGCAAACTAGACTTAGTCTAGGTAACTTCCTTACCCTTCTGATATTCTTTCTCCGTCCCGCTCTTTCTCTCTCTGTGTCCGTCCGCCACATTTGAAAAATAACTGAGCAGGCAAATTTAGAGTTTCACGCCTAAGATGCAATGATTTCTGTGTATGCTTGGCACGTTCTTTCAAAGGCAGGGACAGTGGTTACTCAACGCTCAGGTGCTGTAGCTATAATGCTCAGCTGCTGAGTCGAGCATAGCAGCTTCGGTCGCGGCCGCGGCCGTTGAATTTTCGTAAAGAATAAATGCTAGGTGCCGTTCACACGGACATATGTGCACGTTGAAAAAGTCAATGAGGTCGAAATTTGCGCAGCCCTACTCGTATGCGGGCCACTTAACCATATGATGGTTTAGACACAGAACCCCAGTGATTGTTATAAAAACATTGATTAACTTCTAGGTTTTTGACTTGCGATTATTGTGTGCGCGGAATTCAAGAAAAAAGACCATATGTGTCCACATTTGAGCCACTATAATAACGCGCTGGCCTCTTCCATATTCGTGCAACAGCACGGAAAACAGTTGAAAGAACCCACCATTTACGTTGTCTAAAAGCGAAAGCTTATTAACGAGTACGCAAGAAAGAGTGACTACATGAAAAACATAACCAACTTCGTACATGTACACTCCAAGTGACGTAGAACAAGTTAATAAGCGAGCGTGTTTCACAATTCATCGGAACGATGGGTGGCTCCGAAGCCTAATGGTCATGCAGCTTTTTTTGTTGTGTGGAAATATTCCTTCTTCAAATTCCAAGATATTTATTTTTTACGTTCAATGTTTATTCATAATATTTCGAGAAAAAGTTTCCGCTAAGTCATTTTTCAATGACGCGGAGCTTCAGCCGACTGAGTGGGAAGACATGGCTTGGCATGAAGGTATCACTCAGCCGCAGTGAAGCTCTGTCCACCACAGCGACCCGTCACAAATTCTGCTTGTGTGAGCATTTCGTTTAGCGGTGCCTGCTGTGCGGCACATCAGAATGACCACTACGGTTTTAAATATTCTGTTGATTCACAGACTATTGCGAGGGGTAAAGCGTGCGGAGAATTCATTGGAAGCTGTTGATCGCAAGCCTGATTGGTTTCATGATCTGGTGTTTGTACGCAGAATGAGTACGAGGAGATGGCCGAGCAGTGTTCGCGTTTTGCGGCTGCCATCCTGGGTGCTTGCAAAAACACCGAGGAAGTGGAGACGGTGCTCTCACAACCGGAAGGTTTTCCGACAAATAGACCTTTCCGCTTTCCCCGGCTCTCTCTGGCGATCCTGCTCGACCAGAAGAACGTGAGTATAGGCGAGACCTTGTTGTGGTGCTCCGCCATCATTCACACAGCCGCTGCTCGCTGCTAGTATGCCCGAGTAAAAATAATACCTCGACGCCGCATATAAACGGAAAATTGAGCATTATTTTATCTTTTTGAAATGCTAAAATATTCAGTGGTTTGTTACACTCTGTAGCACTTGACGGTGAATGCGCACTGGAAACGTGGTAGTGATTTAGCCAGGGGCTCAATCTTATCTTCGCAAGTGGGCCGCAGTCCTACAACATTGTTCAACAAGTGCCTAAAGAGTGCATGAAGTCGAAGCGGGAGATGGGGTGAGAAGGGGTGAGTTCGAAAAAAAAAATGTCACCTAACGTTTTGATAGGAATGAACGCCTTTCGCCCACCTCACATATAGGTCATATCCGCAGGGAACCAGATGTTCATTTCGAGGAAGACATTGAGCTTCACCGATAAGAAATGCTTAAGACCACTCTCTTCGTCGCTGTAGCTCTCCCTACAAAACGTTATTGATCGCAACAGGTGACAAAATAAAGGAAATAACATTAAGCAATGTTACAAACATTTATTTCTCAGGATGCCGTGGGCCGCTCCTGAAACGTTCCCGGGCTGGATGCGGCCCGCGGGCCGGGAATATTTTTGTTGAGAATAGCATTAGGTGACTTAGAGAGGAAAATGTGCTTGTACCAGAGCGGCCCGGACAATAAGAAACTTTAGGCACGTTGCTAAACACCGTTTCTTAGAGGTGTACTAGGGGAAGACCGTATCAACTAAAAAGCTCTTGCCTATATTGTACACCATCTGGCAACAAAAGAAAGCGCGTGCAGTGGTTCACTGACTTCTGTACGATATAGGTGCCCTATAAAAAATATGCTTTCTTTTTTAGAGCAAATTGCGGTGCCATACAGTCTACAAAGCACTGCGTCTGTACGCGACGACATATATTTGTATTAGAATATGTTAAATTTTTGTGCAAAATAAACGGCAGCTTTAGAATTTCTCTTTTTATATACGCTCCCTTTGCCACTGCCTGGCTATTAGTGATACCTCGCACTTCGTGACAGAAGCCTTTGGCTTTTGCTTTGAACATTATTGCCTGCAAGCTTCAGTTGCATGTTGATATGAAATAACACACTGTGTCATATATTAAGAATTCCACACATAATATACCTTGTAGCACCTACTACCTAATAACTCGGTACCAGCCTAGAAAATATCTTTTAAGTACTTATTTTTGGATGCTGTGGTAGTTAAGATGTTACGGTGATCGCCTGTTAACCTCAAGGTTGCTGCTTCTATACCGGTCTTGATGGTCATATTTCGATGGGGGGAAATGCTCAAAGCTTCTGTTCTCTGAAATGTCAGTGTGCTTTAAAGAGAAACTGGTGGTAGAAATTTCTGGTGTACGCCCGAAAAGTAGCGCTTCGTAATCATGTGATAGTTTCGCACGTAAAACCTCTGATAACACCATAAACAGTTACTGCTTACACTTTGCATTTAGGCCCGCTTACTCACATTTGCAAATGTCACGGTGTGGTGTTTAATTCGTAATTGCACAGTTATTTCGAGTGCATAATGTTCTGTCTCGCTGCTGGTTCGGTTTTTGTAACGACCTTGTAAACACGTTGTCTAACGGATAATTGATGGGATGAGTAGGTTGCTATTGCTTGTGGACAAGAGGGCGTCACGTAAACGCTGTCATTAGCAAATTATTTGCCTTGTTCTAAGATTTAGAGGCACCGCTATTTTGGTATTTCCGGCTCTGCTATTTTATATATCTCTCTCGAGTGCATTCAGTTCAGCAGCAAAATGCGCTTTTGATAAACATCAATACGCGTTAGTATATTGACAACATTCTGTCCTTTTCTTTTCTCCATATTACACGTGCATGTAAGCGTATTTTTTGTTGCCTTCTTTTTACTCAGTTCGTGGGGCACGCGAACTGCCAGCAAGTCCTACGTTCTCTGTGGTACAAGGGTCTCCCAGGCTGGCCGGCATGGTCCCCAGCTCGAAAGGCTGCTCACGTCGCAGGCCAAGCACTGGCCACTCCTTTCTTGAGCATCGCGTACATCTTCACGCCAGAGCCAATGCGCGTGCTGAAGCCCCTGCGGGTGCCGCTGAATCGCTTCGTTCACAGCTGCACCTCGTACGCAACCTTCCTGGTGCTCCTGACAATCTCACTCTTTTACGGTCGGCGCGACAGCCTCAAGCTGCGCGTGCTCTGGTCTGAGATTCTCGTCGGCGTCTGGGTAGTCGGCTACGTATGGGAGCTGGCGCTCAGTGCTTGGGCACTGGGTCCTCGCGTCTTTCTTAGTTCCTTGTGGGCCTTGTACGATGTATGTATGTTCGGCCTGTTTTTAGTAGCCGAGATACTCTGGTTCATCGTGTTCGTCTCTGCCCGAACGCTCCAGGAGAGCATCGACCGTTCCCAGTGGCCGTGGTACCACCCATACCTCATTGGTGAGTTAAACTTTCGTGTCAATATAGAACTCGTGCACTGTGAACGTCTTTTAATGGTTTAATCACATGCTATTATGCACTACCCACCATGAATCAAATGTATTAAATGCTTTATAGCAATTGCGCATCTCTAAGGTCTTAAAACCGATGTTCTGTTGTGACTCTTTTACGAGATAGTAAAGTTTCTTATAACAGCGAGCTCGCTCATTACCTTAGTGCAGAAACGTCTTAATGGTGACGCTTCTGGTAGGAAGAGAGCGTTGTCACACATTGTTAACACAATCGCTTTGCATTAATATTTTGAACTTCGTTATCGGATGCAATTAGAAAATATCACGTGCAGTAGGGAAAGAAGTTGGAACTGATATGGTGCAGAGTCACTCTTAGTCCGAAGCCTACCAATTTTAAAGGACTAATCGGCCGATTCCGTTTCGTGTCCGATTCGACGTGTGGCGTACCCGAACTGGAATGACGCGTACACAAGAGGAGAAAATTTGGCGAAAGCACATGTTGCGACAACAACCATTTTAAAAGAAAACCAAAAATACACGTGCGTTTTGCATGATACAGCACATGTGATAGCACAGATGTGTACGTGACGTAGAACAGCTGGCTCATGCAAAATGTCACTGTCTGTGCTATATCGTGTGCGGCCCATGTGCGTTTATGTGTACTTCTTTTACTCTTTCATTTCGAGTAGACGTTTTCAGTTGCCAGTGCGAGCATGTGTAAGCGTAAAATTTCCTTCTCAGCGTACACGTCTTTTTAGGCTAGATTCATCCATTTTCCGGAGAACTGATGTTCTGAAACGCATAAACCAGTACGCTTTCTCAGCATCTGTGTGAGCTTCATTGTACCTGTAAATTATCTTAGCCAACACGGGAAGCATTTGTTGAAAGTGCATTGTCAACGTTAACATGGGGACACCGTAACTAATGTGAACCGTTTTTACAGCCATGCCCTGTAAACACACATTTCGGAATCCACAGCATAAAAGACGACAGACTAACATTCTGTTAGATATTGACAGGCAGCTGATAGGCCGGTGCTTTGGCTTGTGTGGGACGCTGGTGACATTTTCAGACTTTCTGGTATCTGGACATAATTCACTTAAGCGGTACAAACAACCTGTCGCAAGAAACGATGACATGTTTTTCAAATATTTTGGAAGTTGTGTGATCGTTTTTCGTGACTATCACATCAGGCGGGTCACACCGCCCATGTAAACTTTGTTTTTTTTTTCTAAGATGCCCGCAAATCTACAAACGTGAACACCATTCATTTGTTGAAAGTTTGTGTAGATTGAAAGAGACCCTGTGAAATGACTCTTTCATTCGTCAGAAAGCCCATTTCTGTTTCAATAGTTTTATTGATGTTAATACATTTTTGTTGTATATAGCCGAACTTGTGTTGCCACCAGGAAAAGTTCATATTACACTGATCATAACAGATGCTACGTACTGTGCGCGTGAGGCAATGGCAGCAGTCGCCTTTCTAATTACACGCCTTGCGTGGTCAGAGCTGCTTGCCTAACAGCAATAACGGTTATGCCAGTAGGTTCCGCTGATGTAGACTCTGTATATTTTGCGCATCATGATTTGCGTCGCTCTGTGAACTTGGACTATCTGGTTAATATTTTTATTATGCGGAGCTGATTCATGCTCGCAGGTGAGTCCCTCTACGCCATCGCAACAGTGCTCGCCTTTTGCCGGCTGCTACTGTGGTGCCAGATCCTGCAGACGTTCGGACCTCTGACCGTGTCGCTGCTCTACATGCTTCGTGACGTGGTTCGTTTCATGCTGCTGTTGGGTATCGTCTATTTCGGCTTCGCAGTCGGCATGAGCTCCATCTACAAGAACTACGCCGGAAATGAGGCCACGCTGTCTAATGGAACGACATTGCATCAACCCCCAAACTTTACAAGGTACAAAAAATGACAAGCCGTAAGTAATTTGTACGAAATAGGGTCGATAGTAATTCTCGCCCTCCTTCACGTTTTCCATAGACCCTTTTTACGAGTGCAGTTCATGTACTCACACGTTAGATCTCATAGTCACCAGCGACCTGCAGATATTACTATAAGAAAAGAGACAGGCTAGTTGACCCACTTTCCGGCGAGTGGCAATGAAGATGTGCATTGCGATAAATACCTATTCGGTGTATGCGAATTCAAATTTGCCACTTTTTCTTATTTATTTATACAGATATGTAGTTTAAAAAGTATAAAGAATGTAAACGTTTCCGAAATGTGGCTATTTAACAATAAGGATGTTCTGTGCTCCATTGCACAAATGTTGCTACGGTAGCAGTTAAAAAATTATTTTTGATTCGTTCATACAGCCGACTGAAATATTATTTGTTGGACGTTTCACTTTTCCGTAGTTGTAGATCAAGTGGACTAAATATCTGCTCGTTTCATGGCTCATAGCTGCCTTTTTTAGTGCTTATTTCACACCTGCAATCTCAGTAAGCATAAATCTCGACAAAGGTGCTTTCATTCTATTAGAATTTTACTCTATCCACTAAGGAATTACTCAAGCTCATTTTGTTCATGTAGTAAGTGCGCAGCGAGGTTTTTAGAATTGATCAGCTCACTTACAAAAGGTATATTCAATGCGCGTATGATGTTACGCATTTTCTAACATTTATAAAAGACAAGATTTCTGATAATATCATGTAACAAAAGGCCGGGTGCACAATCTGCAACATGTACGAGTTTTTTTGTATTTTTTTCTCTACTCTATTGCCGCCTCGATTCCAGACCATGCAATAAGTCCAACTTGGTGGCGGTGCCTCATCAACCGGGGCGAAAATAGCGATGACCACAATGAAAGAAATCTTTAGAAAAGTTAGCCTGTGGCTATCAGTTATAAACCGATTGCTAAAATAGCCATGTGTACAGCTTACTGGTGGAACCTGTTTCACACACAGTCTTGGCCGTGCACTCAAGTATCTTTTCTGGGCCCTCTACGAGCTTGGAACACCGGAGATCGCTGACATTGTCGTCTCCGGAGACGCGACGCGCTCGGGAGGCAAGATCGTGACTCACAACTTCACCGAGTTTGTCGGATACGCCCTCTGGGGCCTCTACCACATCATTTCGGTCATTGTGCTACTCAACGTGCTCATCGCCATGATGACCGACAGTTTCCAAAGGGTCCAGGTGGGTCTTCACTTGAGTTGCCAGATGCGAACGGGCGCCCAAGCTTTTATCACGAGAGAAGCCCAAAAAGTGGCGTGACTTTACAAATGAAGCCGAAAAAAAGTGAGAGCAATAATTTTTTTTAGTTCTTCGCACTATTCTAGCTATAATAAAAATGCCACTCAAACATAAAGGGTTGTTGAAGAAATCAGCTAATCACGTTATCACGTTGTACAGAGAAAATGTGCGCAACCATGAGCAAAAGCACATAATTACTTTTTGACATTGCTCCCAGGGTAATAGCTGTTCAGTGGAGTGCATGGTTGCCACGGCATGTTTGAAATCACTTGTTGGTTCCCGAACATACGATTGTCTTCAACACTCAGCTACAGAAAGTCATCGACAAACGCTATATTAGTGAATGGCAAAGATGCTATTGGTAAATGCAATGTTCACTAAAACAAGCATATTTTCTAGAAAAATGCATTTAAACTGGCAAAAGAACGCGAAAAGTGGCTGGAAAAATCTACAGGTGACCCTGCGAAAAGAGAGGGCCACATCCAAAAGTCAAAGCCAAACCGAATTCATCAGAAAATTCTGGATAGTCGTGAAGGCTAAAAGCTGGTCTGTAAGCCGCTTGACTTGGTCCCTGAAGACCATTACATTGGCAGCATGCGACGTTTGCAATACATAGGGCACATGAGGTCATACCTAAACATATGCAAGGAATACTGCAAGTGTTGTAGTTAACATAATATCAACTGAAAGAAACAGCATGCAACGTTCGCAGTGAAATACGTCCTGAAATGTATAGTGCATCATGAAAACAGTATATTACTAAAAATTATGTAAATTTGTGCTTATTAAATTCCCTTTTATAGCAGCAACTGGTAATTCTGTGCTTCTTCATTGCTTGAATAGATGGTTTATGTGGAGGGAATTTTTTTCAATTTTTATGCGTGTTACCTATAACCAGATGATAACATCAAACAGTGGTTCCTGATAAATTTATCTTTGCTGACATTGATTTTTCAAATTATTTCACAGCTTATGGAACAGCCTGAAGTAACTATGTTAATGAAATTATTTGTGCTCCTTAAAGCTGTATGGGGCCTATTCAAAATCAAAGCCACGCGTTACTACACTTTGCGCAAGAAGAAATTGTGACGTACTGAACGTCATTTATCCCGCCACTGTGGATTACATAATAAACACAAGAAATTCATAAACTAGGAAGTTGACATTAAAGTCGAAAAAGATTTTTTTTTCAGTGTGTAGCACCTGACACCAAAGTGAACCTTGTACCTTCACTTTGAAATCATTGGGTGCCAGTGATACGTTCAAGTTGCATTGTGCTGCTCGTGACGTGCCGTGACGTGATGTCAGCGCGCTAACTCAATGTCCGATTACTTTCCGTGTGTTTTTCCTTGTGAAATCTCCTAAGCAAGAGTGTTTCTGCTCACTAAAGCCAAGTAAAGTTAATTTTGACATTGGATGCTACGTTAGGTGCCGTGCAGTTCTGTCATTGGAAGTATGAATGGGAAGTGCAATAAAGAAGCCGTTACAGTCGCTATCAAAAGTATATACATTTTTTTTATTTCTGAGCGAGCCAAAACACCGTTATGAAAGAACATCCAGAGCTCCCATAAAACTAAGACCTCAACTCGACTGAGAAACAGACTCTCGTGTTCCAATATTTTTTGCAGGGTGGTTTGAAAGCCTTATCGCTATAGGCACACGTTGCGCGTGCAAGTGCAGATCAGTCGCCAGGAACCTTTGTCTTGTTGGCGTACAAGTTTTAAATACTTAAGCGCCATTGTGCAAATCCTGCGCAGCACATAAACGAACTCAAAGACGTCGCACCACAGGGAGATTGTCATTTTCAAGCTCCATTTTGTTCCACTCCGCTGCCGGCGTAGTCCTGTGGCGACCGCGTTGTAATACTGATCTCGAGATCTCGCGTCAAATACCGACCATGGAGACTTCTTTCCTTCCGAAGCGTAATGCTCGTGTCCCACGCGTGTGGTCACGGCTCGCAGAGGCGCAAGTGGTTCTAGTTATCCTGAAGTGCTGTATCCCCCACTTCCATGCTTTTGTTAGCCAAATTGTTGTTCCCGCATGTAATTCACCATAGTTTCATCATTTCTAGTTTTCTGTGAGGTCATCATTTCCTTGGCACACAGCAAGCTGGACTGTACTAACGATGGATGGTTCCTTTGATGGGCTGAAAATACTTATTTCTCACCAAACGTCATTTGCGTTCGTACAGTAATGTTTCAGTATTCCTTCTTTAAATGTGTACTTGTAATATACGTCTGAGTTATATTTTGGGGTCGAAAATGATATTGCTTTTCACTTGCACAAGTGCGTCACGTTCTTTTTGCCTTGCCAATCTAGCGTCACAGCTGATTGCACCATGAATAGGACTGATTCTGCTGTTTCAGAACTCATATAAATGTTGTGTGTTGACCCCGAAGGCACTCATCGTCACTTTATAGATAGAAATCAGCCGTCTGATACAGTTTTCTTATTCACGTACGCTGTGCTATTTATAGCGGAGCTGAGTTAAAAACTGCATAAGCAATTTTAGCTCATTTACATTTAATAGCATGGAAATTTGGACCAGTTTGTTTGAGTAGATTCTTGGAAATATTACGGTGCGCGAGAAGACAAACGCCATGAATCTCTTTTCACTCTTCGTTTTAACGCGATAGTGTTAGCGAGCTCGTGTCACAGAAAACCCGCACCGGCGTCGGCCCCGTTGGTTGTGAGCAAAAAATCGTCTGTGCGTCTGTGACCGAAAATTCAAGGTACCGAGATAGCAGTGGGAGACCACCACTTGTCCACACGTGTGCGCACGATCACACTGAATAAGCCGCGCATTCGAAGAAAAAAAAAGTGCTCAAGGTTAGCGCGGTAGTTTCGTTGCCCGTACCGCCCCTCCCCGCTTAGCTTCCAGTGCTTTCGTCGGGACTAGAGAAGAGATAATGCAATTGCAGCATCGACAAACTTTTGCAACTCCACTCGTACTGGACGAATTCTTGAAATTTTTGCGGCGTTGAATTCGTGAGGCGATAAGCTTTTCTTGTGAATTTATTACATTGTTACTTGATTTGATGATTGATATGTGGGGTTTAACGTCCCCAAACCACCATATGATTATGAGAGACGCCATAGTGGAGGGCTCCGCAAATTTGGACAACCTGGGGCTCTTTAACGTGCACCTAAATCTCAGTACACGGGCCTGCAACATTTTCGCCTCCATCAGAAATGCAGCCGCATTCCATTGTTACTTCAAAAAGTGTTTCAGGGCCCCTTTAACGCACTTTGTTTGACAGGTGTCACGATGAAAAGAAGCCCATTCGGCGATTTGTAGGCGCACTTGGGAAGCTTCAAGCAACGTCGAAAAAGGCCGGGATAGGGCAGCAATCGCCGCTAAAAACACACAAGAACTTTTAAACAGCTCTAAAAATAGACGAGTATGCCCATATAGCGGAATACATATCATGGCTTTCCAGAGGCGTTGATCAAGCAAACAGCAAACGATAGATAATGCGCTGCTATCTGTGAGGCATTGTAAGACCCTTTATCGCCTCCAAGATGGCGAGTGCACGGCGTGTATCTTGGAGGCCATGCGACTCTTAACTTTAAATCAAAAACCTGTATGTACCATTCGCGCACGCGCACTAGTGCGATCTACTGTGTGCGTGATGTGTGCGTGCGTCTGTGTGTGTGTAGCACAACATATTAATAAGTATGCAGTTAGCAGTTGAAGGGCGCTATAGGAACCGGATTTCGCTATCACGTTCAACTCTTAAAGGCGAAGCTTAAGGGCCCCCAATTTTTCTCGTATATCGTGTGTGCGCCAAATGTTTCCAAGAAGGTCTTTTATACGTGTAGGCCGCCCGAAAAAAATATTATGGCAAACCACATCAGTGGGCGAACCCTTGTTATTGTTATGACGGCAGACTTATTAGGCTGAAACGAATAAAGAGAAATTATAATGATATTTGCACAAGAACCTTTGTTACTGATTGACGGATCGATCGCTGTTCTTGGGTTTTGTATACCTCCTTTGTTATTAGTTACAACTAAACATTCCAGGTTTTTGTTGCAGTATCGTTAATATCTAAGCCGTTGACAAAAATAAGAGCATTACTTTCACGCAGGGCAATGCCTATACGGAGTGGATATTCGCCCGGTCATCGCAATGGATCTCGTACTTGGATATCAACGCTGGCGCCCCGCCTCCTCTCAACTTGTTTCCAACAGCGAGGTGCTTGCGCCTGTGCTACAAGATGCACTTTGCCAAGAAAGGAATGCGCAAGGGCATTACCACGTCCAGTCGGGTGCGTTACACTTGCCACCTTAAGAACGCAAAGAGAGCTGGCCGGTATACGGACAGGTGGTGTTTCTTTAAGAAAAATGCAGCCCTTACTTGTTTCTTGAACCGAATCTACAATATCGTGAAAGAGTATCCCGTGCTCAGGAAGCGCGGTACGCGTAATCATCGTTGTGCATACGTCATACACTGGCCATGCTTTCACTTTGCGTTTCCGGCTGATATTCATTGATTTTGTGTAGATCGCAACATGGTTCTTATCAATTTAAGTTAGCAGGATATGATTGTTGTCCTGAACCATGTGTTGTGCGCTTGTACAAAGCCAAGTACCCAAGGATAGGGTACGCAATTTTCACACTAGAAAAGTCTGCAAAATTTATAAGGAATAGTAGTAGTATTAGACTTTTATTCAGCCAAATTTACAGGCCGAGCATTTCGACCGCCTGTGCGATCAGTCGACGCTGTTCTTCTTCCCCTTCGGCGCCGATCCAGTCGAGCTAGGACGTGATGGAAAGGGATTGGGGAGGGTAATAGCTGGATTGCTGAGCAGTTGGGCAGTAAAACAGGCAGTGTGACAGGTCAGCGTATGGGGAGGGACAATTAGGACAGCAGGGGTTAGACCTATATTTATAAAGGAAAAGGCGAGAGGGGGTTATCAAGCAGTTCATTTGGATGTGCCGTAGAGTTCGAGCCTCGAGCGCCGTGAGTGATGGATGAGGGGGAGGGTAAAGACGCTTGTCGAGCCGGAGCTGGAGATATACCTCCTTGATAGTGTGACGCAAGGAGATCTGCCCATCGTTATTCGTGGAGCTCTCACTGTCTTCTGAAGGTGTGGGCCAGGGAATGAACGGTGCCCGGTGCAATATATCGCGGGCAAGCTGATGAGCTAGCTCATTGCCGTTAATACCCGAATGCCCAGGAACCCAGCGGAGGAAGACAGTGGAGGGTTGAAGAAGTTGAAGAGCAGAGGCCGCTCACTCGACCTCCTGTTGAAGAGCAGGGGGCAACGTGTTGTTCTGTATGTGACGGATGGCGGCGTGAGAGTCGCAGTAAATCGTGTACTCGGGGAGAGAAGGGAGGGAGGAAAATGACTGCATGGCGTGGACCATGGAAAGGACCTCGAGCGAAAGTACATTTGGTGGGTGTAAGTATGGCCCGCTGGTGTGCGTGTCAGGTGCCGAAAGGTGTGGATGGTAGATAACGTAGCCACACGAGCCCCGAGGAGCCATGTATGAGGCATCTGTGTAGGCAACTCCCTGTGTAGAGAGAGGAGGAGAATGATGCTGTACTGCCGCATGACGCCGGCCGGCGTGAAGAACGGGAGACATATTGGATGGGAGGGGAAGGATGCGAAGGTTAGAAGCAGCGGTGCTAGCGGCAGAAGGCAAGGTGGGAACGGAAACGGGAATGTGAGGGATACCAGCTTGGGCTAATAGCCATTGGCCTTGACGAGTGAGAGAAAGACGGGCAATCTGAGAGTCGTGGTGCAGAGAAATAAGAGAACGTAATGGATGGAAGAGGCCTGTGGCAAAGAGCTTAGTGGTAGAGGTAGTGAGAGGGAGGTTTAGAGCTGCCTTGTAGAGGCCTAATAGAGCTCTTTCGAGTGTGTTGAGTTGCGTTTCGGTGAAATGAACGTAGGGTACAAAGTACAAGAACTTGTTAAGGGCAAGCGCATGTGCAACTCGGCACGCATGAGCCTCGTGGAGCCCCGACTGCCGAGTGACAACGCGTCGCAGGAGGTGGGTCACCGAATGGCAAGTTCTCACAGCGTGATGTAGGGCCTGCGCGTTCTTTGTCGCGTGCAAAGGGAAGCCAAGAACTTTGCATTGCTGAACAGTGGGGATGAGAGAGCTAGAAAGATGTAGGGAGATGAGGGTATTGTGGGAGCGCTGGTACGCAGACCGGTTTAGCAAAAGTAGTTCACATTTCTCCGGTGCAGGGGACAGGCCAGCAGTAGCGAGAAAGGAAGCGATAAGGTCCAGGCCACGTTGCAAAGTATCCTGCACGTGGCCGGGACATCCAGACGTACACCAGAGAGTGATGTCGTCTGCATAAAAAATATGGTGGAGGTCAGGTATTTGGGACAGTTGGGGGGCAAGGGGGGCCATAGCCATATTAAATAGAGTAGGAGATAGTACGGCACCTTGAGGAGTGCCGCGGGTGAGGGAGTGTGGGTTAGACAAATGAGTATCGACTCTGAAGCGAGCAACTCGATTGGAAAGAAATGATCGGATGTAAGAATACATGCGGGAGCCACTAGACAGGGAGGAGAGCTGAGCGAGTATGTGGTCATGACTCACGCCATCGAATGCCTTCCGTACATCGACGGTTACAAGCGCATGGATCTGACTACGAGAAGGTGAAAGAAAAGTATGCTGAAGAACAAGGAACATGTCCTGCGCACAAACGTGGCGTCGGAAGCCAATAAGAGAAGGAGGGAAAAACTCTTTCGCCTCAATAAAATCAGACAGTCGAGTCAAGGCCATTCGTTCAAGAGTCTTGCCAACGCATGACGTCAAAGAGATAGGGCGAAGGTTAGAGAGAGACGGAGGTTTGCCGGGCTTCGGAATCATGCAAATTAGAGATGATGTCCAAGAGCTTGGAAGACAGCCGCTGTTCCATGCTTCGTTGAATGTGTGTAAGAGAAATTCCTTCGCGTTGTCGGGGAGATTACGTAATGTAGTATACGCTATCTCATCCTCACCGGGTGCCGAGCGGGTAGATTGAGTGGCTAAGGCAGCTTCCAGCTCCCTGAGCGTGAATGGGCGGTCCAGGTCTAGGTTAGCTTCGCCACAGTAATCTGGGTAGGAAGGTGTGAGGGGGGGGTGGAAGATACAGAGATTTTAAATTTTCAAACACGTCAGATGGAGTCCCTTGAGTGAGAGCTTTAGCTAGGGTGGGAGCAACGGCAGGCTTGGTACCTAAGAGAGACCTAAACAGAGACCATGTAGAGCGCGAGTGCAGTGCGGAGTCAAGGCCGTCACACAGCGTGTTCCAACGAGAGTGCTCGAGAGAAGTGCCGTAAGCGATAATTTCAGCCCGCAGAGCATCAATTCGGAAGGAAAGTTGGAAGTTGTGTGGCTGCGAGCGGAGAGCTCGTTTCAAACGTTTATGACGTCGCCATAATCGGAGGAAGTGAGGGTCAGGGTCAGGAATGGGGAGTTGAAAACGAGCGCGGCGACTACAGGATGTCATTGCTGCGGAGATCCGCGATGTCCAGTCGTCGTAAGTTTTAAATGAGTGAGACAAAAGGTTATTACGGAATGCTTCCCAGTCAGTGTGAGCGACTCGTTGTTTCCGCCTATTGTGGGAAAGAGGGGTGGTGATGTGTATGAGAAAGTGATCACTGAAAAAATTTTCAGCAGAGACCTGCCATTGAAAAGGAAGGGAACTCCGAGAGAACGTGAGATCGGGTGTAGTGGAACGCTGTGAAACAGTGCCCGCTCGAGTAGGGGTGTCAGGAGTATTAAGAAGGGTGAGATGGCGTTCCTGGGCGAGGCAGTGTAGAAGGCGACCTGGTTTGAGTGTTTGGGGGTAACCCCAGAGCCTATGAGGAGCATTAAAGTCACCCCCAAGGAGGATATGGGTGGTCGATGGAAGGGAGTGCAGGAATTTGCCAAGAGCACTAAACAAAGAGGACGTGACAGGGGGGTTATAAAATGACATCAGAGCGAGAGAAATACGGGTAGATGGTTGGTAATAGACCACACCAACTAAATGTTTCAGGAGGGGGGAGGGTACGTCTAGTGGTTCAACGAGAACGTCATTGCGTACATAAATGGACGCAAGTGGCTTTCCCGTCGTAGCGTGATATGCACGGTAGCCTGGGACGGCAAGGGCCGCCCGAGTCTCCTGTATAAGGAGAAAATGGGGTAATGTTTGGCGGGTGAGAAGATATTGGTGGAGAGGGGTCCTATTATGACGAAAGTTGCGGTAGTTCCACTGCAAAATATCGAGGTCCTTTTCACGCGCCATCTAGGTCTTTGGAGTAGAGGAAGCGCCTACGCGTGCGCGTTCCTTCTTTTTTGCCGGGGGAAGTGACTCCTGCAGGGAGTTAAGCATATAGGTGAAAGATTCCAGTTGCTTAGATTGGGTTTCGAGGGTCGTAAGAATCCGCACAATTGAATTTTCCAGCTGGACCAAACGAGTGTGATGCGCAGTGGTGGTGGTTTCGACCATGTCGGCCAATTTGGTTACATGGGAGCTGGAGGTCGGGGCGGTGAGTGTGGTGAGTTGCTTATTTAGCTCCGTGAGTTGAGAGGTAAGAGAGGAGGTGGTAGTTGCGAGTGTCTGTGTCAGTGCAAGTATTTTCTGTTGTAGCTCATCTGAGACGCGTTGTTGCTCGCGCTGGTTGCGCTCCAACATAGCCAGTCGCAGATCGAAGGAGCGACTCTCGTTACTTGAAGTTGGTGAAGGTGTGTTTGATGAAGAAGTGCACATGGGAGGCGTTCCCTTAACCTTAGCGGCGTATGAGCCCGGGGGGGGATGTTGCGGGAGGTGATAGGAGCTCATGCGCTGAAGAGGAGGGCGGCGAAGGCTGAGTGGCTCGGCGCATGGCTGTGCGACGGAGAAAAGCTGCTTTGGCGCAGTCGCGTTGCTTAGCTAGAAGGTAGGGGCAGGTGGAGTCGAGAGATGAGTGGGTGTTGACTTGGCAATGGATGCACCAGGGTTGGGCGCAAACGTGAGCATCGGGATCTGCCGGTAGAGGAGACGCACAGCGGCGGCTCTTGGCCGGAACGCTGTGTTGGGGGCATTGATGAACACGGTGCCCTATAGCAAGGCACCGAGTGCAAGTAGGGGGTTTGGGTTTATGTGGACGGCATCGGAAAGAGACGCGTTTGAAGTACACAAAGCGAGGTATGATGGTTCCAGCAAATGTTATGAGGACGGATTCAGTAGAGCCCATCATACGTGCAGCGAGTATATCTGAAGTAAAGGATTCGAGGTCATGCAAGAGCTGAGATGTTGTGAAGTGACCACCGACGTTGTGTATGACGCCGAGACATGATATTGGAGGACTGAGGGCATAGGGCTTAATGGTGATCGGCTTACCATTAAGTTCCAGACTTGTGAGGGAGAGTAGGAGGTGGGCAGTGAGAGGTGAGTGCGTTTTAAGAAACACAAGGCTCTGAGCAGGTTTGGCTTGAAGGGTGACCTCCGCACTGGTCTTGGGAGAGAGATTTGCGGCGGCTGTGATGGTAGAAAGCAGGTCATAGAGAGGCAGTTTCGGCGTGAGTGTTCCGGGTGGAAGTTGGATTCCGACGGTGATGAGCTCGGAGCGGGGGCGGGCGGTCGAGGCAGGTTTTCGATTGGCACTAACGGTGTTCCAGCTGCCTTCAG